ATTATAACACACACCCTGGACAGTTTTCGAAGCTCGCTTACTCCACGAGCGAGAGGAAGCCAATATCAACTGATGCATTTCGAAAAAAAAATCTCGACGAGACGGTTTGGTTCGGTTCAATGATGCAGTTTTATTACACTTGTCACTGGTTGTGCTGCGGGGTCATCGGTATGTATCTTAATCTTATGCAACCCACGACGAAACCACGTATCATGCCGACCTCAGCTTCCCCCCAACTGATGGTGCTGCGAGACCCTAGCACCACAGAGGTACACGGCAGTGCGGCAGTTTCCAGGGTGGAAGGAGGAAGCAGCACGCCATACATGCGCGTGGTGTGTTGAAATAATATATTTCACCACAAAAGAGAAAACCACGTGCAAAAACGCTCTGTCCCGCGACTATTATTTCGTCCAAGGAGGCAATGGAGTGACACACACCCATACGAGCCGTACAATCACGGCCAACAACGGTATACCCGTGGGACACTGGAACACGCCCACCTCGTACGAACACTACGTCGCGAAGCTGCCGACAGCAGTTTGAAGGAGCCCACACATTCTCACAGCAATCAGGCACGTATTTTTTAAATGACCGTAAACCAACAGAATCAATACCGTACCGAAGAGTACATGTTGATCATCAGAGCCACGCTATGAAGATAATTCATTGGTAAGCTATGCCGGACTCTTTTATCTGTGTTAGACATTAATTTGTTGTGTTTTTTGTAACAAAAAAATATTTCACATCAGACGCACCAGGCACTCTAGGAATGGATTCATTGTTAATCTCTCTTTTTTATCTGTGGAAGAGATGCATCTGTTATTTTTTTTGTCGCGATCGCGTAGAAAGAAGCACGGGTTGGTCATCATGCAACGCCATGAATCATTGGAAAGCTATTGTATCCTGGACTCTTATCTGCGAAGAGATTAATTTGTTGTGATGTTGTAAGAAGTGAAAGAGCCCCGCAGGGAACCTTCGACGCCATCCACGGATCCACGCTGCTGGTCGCTCAAGAGTAGGATCAGCACTACATACGGTAGTAGTCCCTCATGGTTCGAGCTGTGGTGTTTACTCACGGCTTGGCTTGACAGAGGCCGAAAACGCTCTCTGAAGCGAATTCAACACAGCGCGTCTCGACTCCCGACGCATGTCTGCTGAAGAAGGCCAGACGGCAATATACCTGCTTGACAAGGCCCGGTCAAGGGATACATACATATATATATATATATATATGTACCGTTCTGCATAACGACCCGCAGAGCTGCAAGTCCACGCCCATCGTTGCCGCTACTCTGTCGGCCACGCTCACGCCAAGTCATGATGATTGTGTTAAGAGGACGGGGCGTTGGGATATGCTGATTGCGGAGTGGTTTGATGGTGTATCGAGCACACGCTGTTTCTGTGTGCTCCACAGGCAGATAGTAGAGGGACGTGCATCCTCGAAAGCAAGCGGGGGGAGGCGCCGTCACATGGGGGCATGTCATGGTACAGCAGGGGCTGCAACGGCAACACGGGCAAAAGCGGCCTTGCGTTGTGAATCTGTGGAGATCACCTTGCTCTCGACGAACATTTTTTATAACATCAATGAGGGGCTACCCGCTCTGGATAGCACCACCTCCGAAGGGGGGGTGTTGTTCACAGTGAGGCTTGAGCGACGCCTGCTGGACTCCGAAGTTGCTGAGAGGACATGGAAGATTAAACTGTGCGGCCGATGGCCATGACCTCTAATCGCTCGTAACGCACGGACGGAATGTTGGTTGTTGGTCTCGCAACAGAGCGGTAGACCATCGCTTTCTCACCCCCGCTGTCTTATTTTTTTTATGCGCTTGTCGGTGTTGGTCTTGCAGCAGAGCGTTACGTTAACCCTTCGCCATCTCACCTCCGGTTGGTTTTTTCGTGGTTGTGGGTGCTCGTCGTCTGCCTGCAGCTTGGGCTACAGGAGTGAGATCGCGAGTCAGCACACGGCCGGTGACATCGGATCGCCGTTAGAGTGGCTCGCAGAAGAGGTGAAGGTGATGCCGTGCTGCTTTGATTGTGTATCGCCTGTCGTAGCCCTATCCCTACAAACACACTTGTATTCTTGTTGTCGGTGATGGTATATATAATAGCTGGTCGATTGTGTATCGCCTGTCGTAGCCCTATCCCTACAAACACACTTGTATTCGGTTGTCGGTGATGGTATACATAATAGCTGGTCTATGCTGTGGGTTACAAACCGCGTTAGACCTAACCGCCACAGTCACACTTGCAGGCGGGCCTTCTTATTCCCATGATTGTCGTTGTCGGTGATGTTATTTTAGCTCGTCTATCCGGGTTAAAGAGTGCGGGGTGGGCTCAAAGAATTAGAAATGGTCGTCGACGCGACACGTTGGCCGATCATACCCACGTGGTGAATGAGAGTGCAGCTGAGGTGCCTCAATGTGTATTATTGGGCGGGGTATGTACCAGGCCAGTCCATTCGCCCTGCTGCAACGAGCACCCGCCCTATCCAGCGCACTTGTGAACGTTTACATCAACTTGATTATTCTGGGCCGAAAGATTTAACGCGCCTTATGTATAGGGCCCAAGTGTCCTCTAAATAGACGGACCACGCGTGACTGCGGTATCCCGGCTCACTGCTAGAGAGATGCACCATGATGGGTTGGTGGCAGAAAGACGTCTGCTTGGCTCTTGCAATGACATCGACTGCTGCATGACGACGAGTCTCACCTCCTGCATCGCTGCACGCACGCTCACCCCAAAGCAGGACGTCGAGATGGGAGACGCCTCTTCCGAAGAGGCCGCAAACACGGGGGCGCTGTCCTCCCTCTCGGCCAACGCTACCAGCAGGCACGACAACGGCAGTCGGCTCTTCGGCCGGACCCTGAACCGCACGCTAACGTCCTCGCCGCCGTCGACGGAGCGGAGGCTAACGGCGACATCGCCGCCGCTGCCGCCGCCGGCACCGGCAGCCTCGTCGTCGGGGCTCAACTCGCCCACCACCTCCCTGTCCCCGGCGGCGGCCGGGGGGGCGGCGGCGGCGGCAGTCGCGGGGCAGCTGCCGCCGAAGGCGGCAACGACAACAACGTCGGCGAGACCGCCGCGTGCCCAGCAGAAGCAGCGCAGGCCGCCGCCAACGCCTTGGGCCCCGTGGAGGAGACAACCGTCGGAGCCGTCTATCGCGCCGGTTTCTTCATCGCCTGCGGAGACGGCGGAAATGGTGAACATGGAAGAGGGCAATGCCGGTGCCGTGGCAGGGGCAGTGGCTACCGCGGGGATACGGGGGGGTGGTCCCTGCATCGCGGCCCGGGCGATCCCGTCCCTGAACTCGCTCGAGTCGCTGGTGATGCTCATGCCGCCGTCGCCTGCGACGCCTCCTGAGGAGGACTGCGATGCTGGGCCGGGGCCGTTCGGCAAGCAGAATCCTTTGGCCGCAGCGGGGGGGTTACAAGCCGGAGGAGCAGGTGCCCGAATGGGAGATGGAACTACCGTGGTGGGTCCCGGTGGTGGTTCGGTCCCGGGACAGCAGTCGCGGGGTGGGTTCGTTCCGGTAGCGCCTTGGCGGAACTGGGTGAACGCGACGTTTGTTCTGCAGGACGAGGAGGAGGAGGAGGAGAAGAAGGAGGGGGAGTTGGGAGACGGTAAGCCCGGGGTCGAAACGTGCGCGCAGTTCGCCGAGAAGAGCGGCTTCGTCCCGTTTCGCGGGTACCAGCCCAGCGACGCGTGGCTGGCCGTCGCGATGCAGAAGGAGGAGAAGCAGAAGGGGGAGGAGGCGGAGAAGGCTCGTCTGGCAGGGCATCCCGCGCTGGGCAGAGCGGTGCCGTTGAAGGAAATAATCCACGAGGAGAAAAGCGTCGCGAGTCGAACAGAACGGACAACGGCGAAGGCTAGGTTCGCGAGAAACCACACCCTGGTGCAGCAGTCTTCGGAGGCGGGGCCCCTCGGCGAGCGCAAGGTTCCCGGGGATGGAGACACCTCTCCCCGATCCCCGTCCGTAACTTCGGCGTCTCCGCAGCAGCCTCCTGGTCCTGGGCTGCTGCCAGATGGAGCGTTTCGCCGTGAGCGGGAGGTCTCGCCGCCACCGTCGCGGCCTTCGCCGCTGCCCCTGTCCATGTCTTCGAGCTCGTCGCGGTCGTTCATGCCGCCGGCGTCGCCCGCGAACTCGACTTCCCTGGCCGGGGCGGAGTGTTGTTCGTCGCAATCCCCGGCGGCGCCGTCGCAGAGATCGTCGTTGAAGGGTTGCACGTCGCCAACAGCGTCTCAGCTCTCGGCGTCTCCCTTGAAAGGCTGCTTCTCTCCGGTAGCGGAGTCGCAGCTTTCCACCTACTCTGAGGAGGAGGAGGAGGACGTTGACGTGGACGTGGAGATTGCGCGAGCATGTGAAGAAGAAGGGCTGGCGCCTTTCTCGGGGTCTCCTTCTCCCGAGAAGGAATTGTTGGGCTGTTCGAATACGGCGGCGGAGGAACAAATCGCGACGGAAGAACAAATTGCGGCGGGAGAAAAAAGTGGAGCGGAAGAAGGTTCGCCTTCGCCTTCCACCTCGGCATCACCACCATCACCCCAACCGGTGGTGGCCCAGCGCCGCTGCGTTGCGGAGGTCGGCAGCGAGCCGCCCGGCGCGGTGGCCGGCGGGGTCGCCACCGGCACCGGCACGGGCAGCAGCGCCGACAGCGGTAGCCGTGACCAAGCCGCGGAGGAGAAGAGAGGTCCGCCGGTGTCCCCGGCGGAGATACCGTTACCCCCTTCACCGCCTCAACCTCCCCCTGGCCGATCTCCGACACGACCACCGCTGCCAGACGGTGACTCGACCCATGCCGTTGATGAGACTCCCGAACGCCTCCGGTCACCGGTGACGACGCCGCCGCCTGCGGAACGCCCGGAAAGAGCACGGAAGGCGCCTCGGATCGTTGCGAGAAAGACCGGGCAGACGAAACGGCCAAGGCTGAGTCGGATGGCTGCCGCAGGTGCGGCTCCGCCGTCTGCAGCTGTGTCGTCGTCAGTGGAGATGAAGGTGAGACTGAGAAGCCAAGGCATTCGTTCATTCCCGAGCCGTGCAGATTGATTGAACGCAGCGTGTCGCTCCGAACTGCCTGCCTCATTCACGATCCACCAATCGTGCAAATGTTTTTGATGAGTGAAGAAACTTCCACCCATCCCCTTCGCCTTGTGGCTACACTTCGAACGAGTTGTAGGCTCTCTTGTAGTTCATACAAGTATATGTTTCCTAAGCGTCCACCCTGATGTGTTCGTTGCCTCTTACGCTCTCCCTACCTCCCCTGTTTACGTTCTCCGCGCCCAGCGGCCAGCGCGAGCGCAACCGGCGCGTGCGCGTGCATGGTGTGAGCCCCCGCATGCCCCAGCAGCAGCGGCAGCAGCAGCAGCGGCTCCGCAGCATCAGCAGCAGGCACTCGCGGTCATACCGTCGGCGCCGCCTTTCGCGGCGGCACCGTGGCCGTCCTCCCTGGGGATGCTGTCGCAATTCGCGGCCGGCACGAGAATCTCGCCTTCGGCAATGCTGCTTTCACCTTCCCCGAAGACGCCGCCGCCGCAGGCGCCGCCGCCGCCGCTCTCCTTCACCACGGTCGGGGCGCCGCCGTGCCACCTCCTGTTCACGCCGCCGTCGCCGGCCGGGGGGTCTAGCTCGGCGTCGCCGACTTCTTCATTCCGGACTTCGCCGGTGCCGCGGCCGCCGCTGCTGCCGCCGGCCGTGGTGCTCTCGGGGAGAGACTTGCCCCCGTCCGACCCCGCCGCCGCCGCTCTGCTGGCGTGGTCGCTGTCTGATTCCACTCTGTCTGGCTGCTCTAGACCCGGCACCGGGGGTGGCGGGGGGGGAACGAGCTCGATCCCGGTGTCCGTTTGCTCGGAGGCCGCCTCGCCATTGGTCGGGATGCGGTTTGTTGTGAAGGACGGTGGCGGCGGCGGCGGCGGCGGCGGCGGGGGGGGTAGTTGCAGCTCGAGGTCGAGGCCGAACTCGTGGTCGGACCACGGGGGAGGGGTCCCGCTGATTGGAGTGAGGGGGTCCCCCCCGCTTGGCCACCCGCCAAGCTTGCCGGTGGCACTGTGCGGGGTGGGGCGGCCGGCGGCTTCGGCGGAAGAGGAGGAGGGTGCCGCTGCCGGTGCGGGCCATGTTGCGGCGGCGGTTGCCGGGGCGGGGACTGCCGGTGTTGTCGACGAGTCGAGCTGCGAAGGCGGGGTTGGGGGCCGTAGAGGAAAGAGACCAAGACGCTATTTTTTCCCGTAGCCCCGGATGCTACGGGATGCTATGGAGACAGACAGCGATGGTGATGGTGATGTTTCTCAGCTGCGTTGAAGGGCCAGTTAAAGGGTGCTACTCACGCGGAAGCCTCTGGGGGTGATTGTGCTTGGCACTGTATTTCGTACGTGGCGGTCCCCGAGAGAGAGGGAGAGAGGGTCGCCTGGACTTCTCCTATCACGGCGTCGCGTGGTGGTCGTGCTGCCGCGTTACTTGTGCTGGTTGCGCCGCGGTAAAGGGGGTTGGGGTGGGGACGGGCGTGGTGGTGACCGCCGTCGTTGCACCGGTGGTGCAGTCAGCGCGGCGCTTGTTGGCGAACAGGAGTTGTTTCATATTTTTGCCTATTGATAGCTTGTAGGCTTAACCTTAGCAGGAGATGGCCACGACTCGGCGGTAATTTGGTTTTCTCTTCTTGCCCAGCCGTGAGCTCTTAGGTCGTGTTGCACGAGAATTAGTGACTTTTCTTTTTTATCTTAGCCGTATTGGCATATGGGCGTTTTATATGGGCGCGAGCATTCCTTTACAACACGTATTTCAGATTTTGTTTTGGTGGTCGGGAAGGATAGGGTGTTGGGTATGGGCGTAGAGGGTTGGGGGGGTCGAGACAGTCCGGACCGGGAACATTTTTGAGAGATGACTGACCAGTTAGTTGCCCGGGCGTGGGAGGCCTGGCACAAGGTGGTACTATCGATCGGTATTCTACGGTGCCGCTTGACGGCGAAGCCTCTTCGTAGATCAGGGGTGGGCTGGTTCCCCTTTCGTAGGGAGGGAGGCCGTCGACTGCTGGTGGTGTTGCTGGTTCCGTTTAGCTTGGGGCGATTTTTTACATATTACGTTTACATTAGTATTTTTTTTGTGTCGTGATAGTGATCCTTGGAGTTTTTTCTTGGCTTACGTAAGACAGAGCCCGTCAATTTGTTGTGGAGGAAGGTATTCCGCGGTCTCATCATCTGTACCACTACGACTGACTCTTTTTTCTGCGTGTTGGTGGGACAGTTGCTCGTCATTCTCTTTATGTCTTGGAGCGGATTTCATTATTGTGGATAGCAAGTCAATCTCGCTTTTCGCTGTAGTCGAGAGTACGATAGTAGGCGTTGTTCGAGATGAGTTTCTCTCCTTGCCCCCCCCCCCCCCCCCCCCCAAGGTTTTTTTTGATGTTTTTT